TTGCTTCCGGATGTACAAGACTTGTTTCACTCGAAAATCTTTCAAATGAAATAAACTGGGAATCTCTCGAAGAAAGACGATATATACATAGAATGATCTTACTTTTTAAAATTCAAAACGGACTAGCTCCAGATTATCTTTTCTCAATTCTCCCAACATCAACTAATAATAGGTACAACCTAAGAAATATTGACAATATTCCGGGAATATATGCAAGAACTACACTTTATTTTAACTCTTTTTTTTCCGACTGCAATAAGGGAATGGAATAATCTTCCACACGACGTCCGTAACCTTCCAACTATCACATCTTTTAAACAAAATTTAAAGAAAAACATACGTCACACGCCTAAGTATTACTTGTCTGGTGAAAGAAAACTTCAAATTCTTCATACAAGACTTCGAACAAAGTGTAGTTCTCTCTAAACTACCATTTGTTTTTTTGAAAAATAACTGCATCACCTTTATGTCTTTGCGGCCAAATAGAAAATAACTTTCATTTCTTCTTCGAATGTACACAATTTGACACAGCTCGACAAAAGTTACTTCGAAATTTAAATAACTTTGACATTGATTTAAATGTTCCTACTTTTAGGCAACCCAGACCTTTCTGACCAAACTAATGACATATTTTTTCACACGTACACACTTACATCCAAGAGACAAAAAGATTCATTTAACACCCAAACACTTAAACATTATATTCCTATACTTTATACCTCATTATTTATCTTTCTCCTTCTTCACTACTTTTCACCTTTCTGTGTTTCTTTTCAAATACTATTCTACTTTGTATGATAATATTTATTTGAATGTTAATTCAATCTATTGATATATTCATTCTAAATATATATTCATCCTAAATAAATGGAACATATACAATGTTTCTTAAAGCATTTGAATACATATCAATTTCTGTGTTTTCTTTTTCTCTAATATAAATTGTTTTCAAGATTTTTTATCTATATTATATTCATCTCAGATTATAAAATATGTAATTATTTAAGCGCCTATTACATGTCAATTACTCACTTAGGAGAAGAATTTAATAAGACATGTTGTCTTTCATTCTAATCCTGTTTTTTTAAGAATATTTGAATTGCATCTGTATATTGTGGACTATAACATGTATATATATTCTGAGAAATAAAATATGTTTAAACTAAACTAATACCTTCTAGACCCTTTTTAATAAACATATCTTCTATATCATTTATAAACATGGAAAATAGAAATGGTGAAAGACATTCACACTGTCTAACGCCTAAAACACATTCAAAACTATTACTTAACTCATTAAAACACTTAACTCTTGATTTAACACTCGAGTACACCGATCTAATAATATTTAAAATATTTCCTCTTATTCCAAGTTGTATCAATTTTGTCCATAGATTATCTCGATTAACATAATCAAATGCTTTACTAAAATCTATAAAAGCACAATATAATTGCTTACCACTATTAATAATATGATTAATAAGACCATGTAAAACAAAAATATTATCAACCGTGCCTAATTTTGACCTAAAACCCGCTTGAGCCTCTATATACACACCGTAGTTTTCTGCCCAGTTTTTTAACCGATTATTTAACAAACGTGTGAAAAGTTTACCTAATGTACTTAAAAGGGTTATGCCTCTGTAATTGTTTTCATCATTAATACTACCTTTTTTATGTAATGGAACAACAAATCCTTCTGACCAATTTTCTGGAAAATAACCTATTTCAAATATTCTGTTAAATAACTTCAACAAGATAGGGACTAATTTATGTTTACCATGCATAAATAATTCATTGATATATAAATCCGGGCCGCCGGCCTTATTTGGACTTAATTGATTAATAGCTTGCAATAAACTGTCTGTCGAAAATGGTATGTTTAATTCATTAAACATAATATTGAACTCATCTGTTTCATATCTGTTTATAAAATGCAAAATATCTTCATCTGGACTAAAAAAACGATCATCGGGATTATTTACCGATTTAAAATATTGTTCAAAAATATCAAGTGAAATATTTGTGTCACTAATACCAGCACATTTTTTTAACATTTTCCAATAAAGTTTTGCATTTGTGTATTTTGCATTGACTAGCTTTTCAGTTTCATATTTATCATATCTATATCTAGCATTTCTCAAACAAGATTTATACTCAGACCTGGCTTTAACCATACTCTGCCTATTTATGTCTGATCATTTCTATACAAATTTAAGGCCGCATAAAACAATCTGCGTTTCTCGTCACATTCTACAGAGTACCAGGACTGGCCCGAGTCAACACTATTAACAGAGACTATACGTTCTGTTCTACATTTAAATAAAGGGGTGACAACATCATCAACAATATTGGTGAATTCATTTAAACAAGAATCAATATCATTGTTACACATACAATTGTCAATATTCTGCATAAAAACATCAAATTTCGATTTAGTATCGTGTGCAGACAGCCGCTCTATATATTCTCCGGCCTTCTCATTACACCATGTATATTTATAATTTATATTCTCATTCTCATTTACATTATTTGTAAAATTTAAATTATCTGACTTTTTAAATATAAAAGAGAATTCAATTTCACAGTGATCGGACAGTATGTTTGGTTCTTTTACTATAAATGAATCGACATATTCGAATAAATCTAACAATGATGTCAAAATAAACAAAAATAGCCGTTACTGTATTAATCACGCAGAAGTAATTTTAAATTAGTGAAATATATTTGCAAACTCATTACTTGCACATACCATTTAAATCATCACTTGAATCTTGAATCCTATTACTTTTCTAAAATTCTTAATACATTTTTTAAAATATTTTATTCATCTGCATACATTCAAATTTGAACATATTGAACAATTTATTTGTTATACTGTTAAAGCTAGTATGCTCATTCAAACATAGAAATTAACAATTTTAATATTTTGTTAAGTAGTGTACATGGATATGGAATAGTCATACTATCGTGCCTTCTAACTATATTCGATTTGATTAAATAGATGGTTGTTAAAGAAATTGTAAAAAATGTCTATTTAGTATTCAGTAAACATTGTCACAATGTTAACTGTATGTAGTGTGTATGCCATTTTGCGCATATATCATTTTCAAAACGAGCTCATTCATGGAAACAAAAGTTTTAATAACCATGAGTTATCCATATTATTTATTATAACTCTCCGCCTTAAAAAAATCCGTTTAAATGGTGTGTATTATTCTACGTCAAATTTATCCATCTATCTTTTAGCGGGGGTTTAGACTCCATTTTCCGTTTTGTTTTAATTTAACCTAGCCTATTTTATATTTCATGTTAAGTGCCGGTCGTACTATTAGATTTTAAGCTATTTTTTTCTTCTGACAGAATTAAATTTTTAAGTTTTTATGTAAGAATTGCCTGCTTATTGCAATTATGCTTGCTCGCGCCAGAACCATAACAATAATCAAGATTCATACATATCGCATCTAATTTATTGACAGGCGGACCGTTATCTAATGGACAACCAGGTCTGCAATATTTATAACCATAAAGAGTTAAAACGTTTAAATAATAACGAAAACTTTGTTTATGAATACCAAATCCACTTCCTGCACTTTTAGAAATATATTCTGTCGATAAAAAGTAGGTTTTATATGGTACGGTGTTAATTCAAGTTACATTTAAAGTTCTAAACAAGTTTGGTAGTTTTATTAATTGTTTACAGTGGTTCAAGTTTTTAATCAATATATGTTCAAATAGTCTGCGGTCAAGAGGTCAAAGGTTTAAAGGTCAGTCGTCAAAAAGTCATGGAACCCTCACAATATATATTACAACTATTAACAAGACAAGACTTAAAGATACCAAATATTTTGTATAAAATACTCGTTAATTAATAAATCACCTGCGCGTGATTTGTGAGCTTTTAATTTGCAAATTGCAAACCTAGCAACCAGGACAATATTGTTCAGTGGACTAATATGAAACATCGTGTAAAACGTTATAATAAAAAAAAATGCATCCGATTTTTAATCATTCCAAATCATTTATTGAAACAAGTTTATCCTGCATCGACAAAGGAAATATTTTTTTTTTGTTAAACTATCGCAAGAAATATTACCGCTAAGAACCTCGTGTTTTACAATTTACAATCATTAACCTGTTTTTTTCGAACAAGAGCGCGCGTCTTTCTTTCAAATGATCGTTTATAAATTGTCTGTTTTTTCCTTTTTCGTACACATTTTACCCGAAATTGCTCAATGTGATTAATAGGCATTACGAGCATTGCGACAGTCCAGTCGAAACCCAATCTGATTAAAATCAGCTCTAAATAACGCTCCGCTCTTAGATCTGACCGTGACCAAATAAGAAATCGTTGTTGGTGACCTTTCACACAGCCATTTATCGGCGAATTTTCATAATTTTGAAAGCGATGAAGTTTCTAATTTTAACCCGGGAAAACCAATACTGAGTAGTTATTTTTCACGATGTCGAGAAAAAACATGGCGTTGTCCATATAGTCGACAGGTAAACTGGTAAAACAATCTTTTCCATTAAAAATTGACTCTATAGTTTCAAGTTAGTTTGTTAAAAATTACTTCAAATAATTTTTTCTAACAAAAATCAATTATTTGTTTAACTTCCACTGATAACGGTATTTTGATACTTCTTCTAATGCCTATGTAAAAACCGGTTTGATTGCATGGCTTATTTTATCTTTAGGACTGTTGTAGAAGATAAACATTTTTACTGAATAAATGAAAAGGGTCTTACATATGTACATAAAGAGGACTAGTTTCCTTAACACTTGAAATATTTCAGAATGATAAGTAAATTACTAGAAATTTGACTTGTTGAACAGTTTACCAATTATTTCTATAAAGAGTATTGTTTTATTTTTTGTTTGTTTTATTTTTAAATTAAATAATATCATATGATTTGATCGATTTTGACAGACTTTAACAACATTTGGTAAAAATACTATTGGTTGAAATTTGATAATACCATATAATATTGCAACTTACTTGAAGACCGGGGCATATTTGGTTATTTGCAGAAACCAAACTAAATACGTCACAGCATATATATACCAGTGAGTTTGCTCATGTATATAACGCACAGGCAACAACAGAATCAACATAACTGGTGATGAAATCTCAACAATATTCATTTTGTCCACAAGATACTCCTTTTTCAGCCTGAATATATCACAAACATGCTACTATGATACTATCGCAAAATTCAAACAAGAAGATAAATTAATTTATGTGTTATGAAGATATGTGCACCAAGGTAAACGATTTATTCTTACAACGGTTAATGATACTTAAACCCCTAAGCGACATTCTTTTAACTTAATGTTTACTATTTTGACACTTATTCAAATGTATTTGTTTTTGTAGTACATGTGTATATGTAATTCTTTTTATAACACTTTTAAAAAGCTAGAATTTAATGAAACCGTCTCACTTCATATCCTTTTAAAAATTACTTATAAGTGATAGAATGATAGAGAATTAACTCATTTTATTTAAATTTTAAATCCTATCTTTAATACAAATAGTTAGAGGAATAAATAAATAACTAATCAAACCTGATAATTTGAAAAATTTCAATTACTAAAATGCGAGCAGCATTTAGAAGCAGAAAGATTTCAAAGATTGCCCGTGTATAGTCAAGAGGCGACTGGTAAACAACAACGTTTGGAGCATTGACACTTGTTACAGCAACAAAAGTCAGAAACACGATGCTAGTAAGGTACATAACAGCGTCTGTACTGAAATAAATGCCATGAATGAAAAGCGGGTAATATGTCATTAACTTAAACTTATTTCATAACATTCATATCCACACCTAAATAGTGCAAATGTAAACATGTTTTTCCTACAAGCTGGTAGCGGCTCGGAAACACGATCTTACTTTGGCTTAGATTTTATTTATAAATTTAAAATGAAACATACTGTTATGTATGATTAAATATGATTCTAAAGTTTTTGCGCAAATAACCATACTAAATCTTTACATACACAATGGCACGCCTGCACCAGTCTTTCCATTTTGCCTCTGTCACAGTCTGATAAGCTTTGCTGCATACAACGTTCTTTGAAAAGAGACAAAATAATTATATCTAGAGCTATCACTAAAGGTGATACATAATCGCAACTAGCAACCTTGACTCTTTGAAACATATGAGGTCTGAACCGAAATTTGAACTCAACCTATAATTTATGATGGTTCATCTATGTACCAATGATTTTTACAATAAATTGTCTATCTTTCAGAGACCATTTTTCAATTTTAACGATTCGTGACATTGACCTTGAACCTAGGCGGTTCAACAACAATCCCAAGCTAGGGGTTTTCATAAGTTTGCTTAAACATTCCTTGACATCAGGGGGTCCAAAAGCAATCCCAACCAGGGTCTTTATATCAGCTTGCTATATACAAATTTTATTACAATTACTCATTCCTAACACTTGTTATTGTCCGGAATACATTTTTTTCTATTTCAAGTTTTATTACAAGTTTGATTATAATAACTTATATTATATTATAAACACTAGTAATTGTCTGAAAACCATGCATTGGATAGACCAACAAACCGACGTACAGACAAGCTTACTCTTATATATCCCACTCAACTTTGTTTGTTGGGCTACATCTGAAAAACAGGTTATACATTTACGTTTATGTTATCATTTTTAGCCTTTCGTCTGCTGTTGGTTAGTTTACAATATTGACCATGTTAATCTTTTCTCAAAAATATAACTGTTACAGATATATAAGCGTCCTTGAAAAGTACAAACAAATAAAATCTTTGCAACTTATATAATTGTAACTTGATTAAAAATGTCACTACTCAAGCACTTGATTTAACAATGGATGAGTTGCAAAGGACGCACCTCTTTATAAAATGATAATATAGAACGGTTAATACAAAGTAATTTCACAGATTATGTATTTTAATGTCCTAAATGTTTGTATTGTAAATATGAACAACATTTGAACGAAAAGCAAATGCAATTAGTAAGATCAAATATGCTCACTGAATTTCGTCTTATGTTGTTTCGTCACACTGACTATATGTAATAAGCTAGCTTTCTCAATATTACAAGTTTATGTGACAGTATCGGACTTATGTTCCACACAATAATAATAAGATTTCATGTATAAGTATTTACCTTTCTGTAATCATTTATACATCTATTCATCAAAGAAAATATAATTTTCAAAAAGGTCAACGACAGAAATGGTCGGTTGCATTTGTTTATCAAATATCATGAGGCTGTGATGTTACGTAAATTTCCTACCATTGACAATGAATGTCGAAAAGTTAACTAAGTCGGTAAACAAGAAGTGGATGAGCGATACATTTAAAATCAATTCAATCGGTATGGGATTATGTATTAATGCTGTATACGAAATATCAAGAGGCTGTGATAAATAGTTGCTGAGAAAACTGTTATGAAGATTTCCTTCCGTTGACCATTTATGTCGCAAATTAAACTAAGTCGGTAAACAGGAAGTGGGAACGTGACAGACCTGGAATTTTATCCCACGTTATGGGACCATGTGTTAATGCTTTACACCAAATATCAAGAGGCTTTGATAAGTAATTTTAAACCGTATTAATGGCTTAAAATGCGAGAAAAGAACAATTTTTAACTGAATTTATTGCTTAAGATAGATTTTACTTACATTTCCAATTACTATAGTTCCATCTGCACAGTAATAATATAAACTTGTTATAATACAATTATTCATGATGACGCTTAATATGAAACTTTGAAAAATGATGTTTGTAACCTGGTGTAAATGCTGTTACTCTAAATTCACATGTATCATATCACTGATTTTACACATGTTACTTTAATAGTTAGTTTTCTAATCTTTTCTTATATATGCGTCACATTTACGGATATGTCCTAATGACACAGTCTGATTTTTATCTCTTATAAGGAATAACTTATCACCAAATTATGAATTTACTAACATCCACCTATAAGATACCTTTTCAATATTTGTACAGTTTTTCACAAACAAAAGATGTCTCCTAATCATACTTTTACTCTTTTAGCCGTAAACTTTCACATTATTAAGATACACTTTTACCCTAACGCGACTTTTTTGCGATTAATGCTTTCGACGGATCACATTTTTTAAGATTTGTTACTTCACAACAGCAGGTGTGCTGAGTGGCAGTCGTAAAAGTACTTCTCTTGAGTGTTGTTATATTTTTCTGGTCCTTTGGGAACATTTAATCTAATACTTTTATGTGTGGAAAATTGAGTATCGCTCAAGGCGTTGTTAGTGAGTCCGGGACGTGAGAGGGAAAGTTATACTTTTTCATTATCCCTCGGGTTCAGACTCAAACAAACCGAGGCTGCATTTTTCATGTAATTTTGATGTGATTTATGCTTTCGAAGGATTACACTTCTTCCACAGTTTTTTTCTATAGCTTACTTAGGAGACACAATCACCATATAAGAATGTAATTATACCGCGCAATAAGGACTTAACTATTATTTCACTGAAAATGTGACAATGCAGTTCTAACTGTGCTTTCTAATCTGCATCGTTACGCCAAGAGGCTGTAAAAGGTAGCTGCTGAGAAAATTGTTAGGAAAATTTCGAGAGAGAGATAGAGAGAGATAGAGAGAGATAGATAGGGGGGAGAGACATTTACAAAACAAAAGTGTGTTATGTTATACCGTCATTCCTCTGTAAGCGATTTGCTGGTAAACAGTGTAGTTAAAGAAATCGAAAAGATCTTGGTCTGGCGTCAAACATGCATCGTCCCTTTCGAAAATGCCGAAAGTTCCGCAATTAACGTAAAATGATTTACCTATCCGTTCTACACACTTCTCCATAAGTTTGGTTAAGGTTTCCTGCAATAGATTTAGTGTATAGAAAATCAATTCTAAATTGTTACAATAAAAAAATGGTGAAAAATATCAAAACATGTTACTGTTTAATATAAACTTTTAACTTATTTTCTGTTTCCTTTCAAAATTTGTGTACCTACTTTAACTAAGTTCAGCTAAATGCGTTTATATGGAGAGAATAATCGATTGCTTTGCTGGTAAGATCATATAAAATTTGAGTAGTCAAATATAATCCGCTGGTAGACAATACGCCTTATACATATATTATTAACCAGTCAATCTTTAAAAATAGATATAAAGTCGGATATTACACTTCGTTCCCTCATGATAATCTTCATTTTGTAGTGAAAATCCGGAAATGAAATGGTGTTACATACACTGAAATTAAAAAAGTCATTGTATAGTATTATTTATAATTTGTGAAATATAATCATAGGATATTACCATAATATATATTAAATAAATATTTAACAAAGAATTACCGGTTAAAAAGACTATTTAATTTTTCTGCACCCAAATGTAACGCATGTAAATATGTTGCAGTTATATAGATCGCATTATTGGATGTTTACCAAAATATCCCTTTCAATATCATTGTACCTGTACCACGTGATATTTTTGTGATTTGCGAGTATGATTGTTTTGCCACATTTTTATTTAAAATAAAACATTCAATGTGTTAATCACTAAAATGAGCGATTTCTACGCTTAATTCCATAAAAAATGAAATATTCAAAAATAAAATAAAAATTTGATCGTTAGTTAGTCACGTGGTTAAGGCACCGTGAATATGTTCAGATGTCCTTCTTAATGTGCCCATTTAAATTTTACTCAATATATAGGTAGACAATAGAGCAACGTCTAAGCACTTTTAGCTGTGTTTCTGTTTAGCTTATATTATATAATTAGCAGAAGCCTTTAAAGAATACACATGACAAGAATAGTATGAATGGCTGTTTACCAAAATGTCTTTTCAAAGATAACCAGACTTCCATTTACTTGTTTCCATTTGCATAATACTTATAATCATAACTTATATTAATATAACATAACTTATATTCATATTAAGGTTATTATACACTGTTGTGTACAATACTGAATTCTATCGGACGAGAACACGGTTGTCAGATTTATATTGGACAAGGAGCTAGCCGCGTATGATGTAGCTTTTGTAACTGTCCATTAGAATAAGTGTTGTTCTAAACAATGTATTAAGACTTCTACATTTTGTTCTTTTTATATGAACCTTTGTTACTTCAAATGCAATAAAGTATTAATGAATTTTTGACCCTAAGAAAATAAGCCTAGACAAAGTAAAATTGGCTTTTGATATTTTAGACTTTAAAATGAAATATGCTGTATGGGATACAATATGGATTTGATGAAGATTTTGGACTCTGAAAATGGAAATACGGCTAAAGTGAGAAGATTAGATCCAATAATGATGTTAATTAGAATATCACGTGGTTCAAAAGATGAATGTGCACCGGTCATATTTATAAGGTGTGAAATAACTAATATAATTATTTATCTGATTGTTTAACAAGTTACCGTTTAAAAACAAAATGCATGTCATTTCATATATGCAAATCATAAAAAGTATACAGTCAAACAAAACCGACTAGTGTATTACGATGTTTACTCAAATGACCTTTCAACAGTTAAGCACATTCATTTATGAGACTGTAATACAGTCAACAACATTGCTTTCAGTTATATATGCTGCAGATTCAGGGATACGTTTATTCGTTTATTTTGGGTCAGAATCTTGATTTTGAGACATTACTGTTTAGGTCAGAACCTACAGAGATATTTACAAAAAGTTAATTCATTGTCATCTCTCAGTTGGACTTCATATGACAAATACAAAAAGAAAGAATAATACATTTTATTGTTAATTGTTATTTCTTTGCAAATGTGTCCAGAGGTCTTTGTTACTGTGTTCTTTCAAATAATAATTAGATCCTTCCGACGGTATCTCTTTCCTCCATTTAAACTCATTGATTTTTGTTTGGCATGGCACAGTTCTCAATTCAAATATCATTACATCATTAAAATCAATTCACATAATGACGAGGCTTTAAAATAAACTTGGTTTCAGAAGTGTTTGCGTAGCATTTTTGAATGAAAAAAAAATGTGTTTGTTTCTCATGAATTTGAATATGCCATATATCGCACACCGAAGTGCAAAAATATCATGTACAGTGTTTTTATG